GCCCCTTATAGTCCCATGTGCCTTATGTATGAATTCTGGTTGTGTTTACTGACCTCGAAACGATTTTATGTGGTACACGGTGCTCAAAAATCTGTCAAATGTTTTAGTAAGACTTTGCTAAGCTACGAAGCCGCACCGCTTGTAGTGATGTGTCGGTCGCAAACGAAACGGCTCTTAGAGCCGGGTCTTTGAAGTGAACGACGCGAGCCGGCTCCTTATCGCGAGCTGTGGGGTTTTTTTTCTTTCTCTCACCCTCTCTCTCGCACTTTTTTCCTGCTATACTCTGCACGCCTTTGCGCTGGGAAGAGGGGGGAGGGGCGGTAGTTACACTTGCAGTAGCACAGGAACAGAGCGGGAGGGAAAGAGAGAGAAAGAGAGCCAGGGACAAAGGTATAGTAATCATCCACAACTATTTTGATAAAGGATTCAGAAAGTTTATTCATGCAGGCCCATATGACAGAGAATATGCATGTCCTTTTCGTTTTCATATTTTAATTTATATTTAATTGTGTTGTGGTTTGCAGTGTTTTGTGTTGTTTTACTTTAAATTTGTTTAAAAGGAAAAAGCTGAAAATTTAAATATTTAAAAGTTGAAATCAAAGGAGTTTGCAAAGAAAAGCGTCTGGACTTCTTTAAGTTACTTGAAGACGTTTCACCTCTCTTCCGAGAAGCTTCTTCAGTTCTAAGGTCAAATGGTGGGGAGTCCCAGATTTAAACTCAGTGGGAGTTTCCCCCCACAGAGGGACAAAAGGACCCCCTGATGATCCTCTAATCGCCTGAGCCAAGGTGTGAAACTGGGTGTGGGTCCCAATCAGGGTGTAAAGGGGGTAAAGGGGTAAAAGGGTAAAAGTTGAAATGTGAATAGTTGGTTTTTGTATTATGATTTATTTATTATTGTATGTGGGGTGAATAAATAAAAGTATATTTACGGTCGCCCGTACAGACAAAGCACGTACAAATTTCAAAACACGTAAAAACTCAGAAGCACGTAAAAACTCCAAAACATGTACAAAAGACAACAGAAGTGCTCCAGAATGCTAGGGGCAGTGTTGAGTTTTTGTTACCTAGAGGCTACACAAGCCAGCAAGTACCAACGACGGTATTTGGTGTGTGGTAGTAACAGGTAAATGAACATTTTTTTTAAATTATTTGAATATATATATGAGTGCTTGTGTGTAACTTGTGTGTAACTGCACACAATAGAATTTTAGGTCTCTACGTCCATCCCATGGGGAATGGGAGCGAAAACAAAAGTGTTGCGTTTATATTTTTGTTCAGTGTATATATATATAATTTTTTTTTTCCTGGACTTGCACCAGGAGAAAAAAGGGTCAGTAATTCTATTAATGCAGCTGAACAGGTGGATCATTTTAAAAGTTTACAGTGATCGGGGGATGGCTCTGAAGTTTAACTTCTAGATCAGGGTGAGTTAAAAGCTCATGTAACTCTCCAGTTTACTTAAAAATCATTAAATCATTTTCTCATTTAGCATTCGATTGCAAAAAATATTTTATCTGTCATTAATATGAGTCATTTCAGACTTACAAACCAAGGACCGATTAAAAAGCCTGTATGTATTTTTATAAAAGTGGACTAAACTGGCTGATTGACAAATTTTATACATTAACTGAAGGTTTGATTATTGTTTGTACCAAAAAAAAGTTGGATCCAGAAATGATGAATATATCTATGAATATATTTATGTAAAGATACACGCACACCATCAAATGTATGTGTGTTTAACTTAGTTCTGTAACATGACCGGTAGTATACTAAGATACCAACAGTAAGATGTGTGATTGGTGTTTACTGTAAAAAGCACTCCAAAAGCACTCCATTTTACAGTTGTAAATCTGACCAAGAACAAAACTGCTCAAAAGACAAAGGACATTTCAGCTCATAGAGACTACCAAGCAGATGAAGTCCTTTATTAGATGTGAGGAATAGTGATGTGTGATACCACCGATTTCCTTTCCGATCCGATACCAAGTAAAATTCAGGGTGGTATCGGCGATACTGATCCGATACCGATACTCTGTACAAAAACTTAATGTTTCATTGCATTTCATAATACAATATATAATTGTATTATGTAATTGTAATAATAACATAACCATATTGCTTCATAATGATTAGAGGACATTAGACAACTTGTTTTTATTGCTTAATAATGCAGAATAATCATATAGAAACAAAAAAAACTGACATTGTACGCTATTTGAGCATGTTGCCTGCCTGCAGCACTAAAGGACTCTGCGAGAGACGTCTGTCTCGCCCTAGCAGCACCTGTCCCTGTCCTCCTCTTCAGTTCGCCTCAACATAAGCTTATCATATTCTGTGATGTGATTTACTCCGAGGTGTTTGACAAGGTCAGTGGTGTTGCCACAACAACGTGTCCACACAGGACTCTGTTTGCGCTCAGCCATTGTTGTGAGTGTGCACGCCAGGGGCTGCGACACATTTACACAGCCGGAAGAATCGATGTTTCAGTATCGATCCGCACACCACTAGTGAGGAACCTGGACCTGAGAAGGAGAATGTAAAAAGCAGGCCCAACCACTGATACTGACCGTGAGCTTAGGCCCGTCACAGTTACATCATACAGTTGAGCTGAAACATTTCTTTGGTCTTGCGTCATCTTCTTGCAGCTGTGCTTTAAGTTCTTCACTGACAACTTTGTGTTTCTCAGTTTGGAGTCCTACCTTTAGTAGTTTGCGTGGATATCATCTTGAAATTGTTTAAAACTTTATACTTTGATGTGGGAACTTTGAATCATGCAGAAAACTTTTTATGCATTTTTACTTTTCTTAGGTAAATTACTTTTTTTTTTTTGTAACAAAAAGGTTCCTCTTCTCTCTATTCCACCTGGATGGAGTATATATTGGAATCCATAAACAGATTTTCAGGCCCTATTAAGTACGTTTGGAGGAAACCAAACAGGCATATATCTTAAAATGATAAACAGGAAGCTCACCATTGAGAAAGCCTCTCTTAGGTTTTGTTTTGTTTGATAAACTAACACAGATGTCAGGAGTGACTGAAGAGACTGAACTCTGTTCACAACCTCCATATATATATATATATATATATATATATATATATATATATATATATTATCCAAGAGAAGAGTTTACTGAAGAAACTCCAGAAAGCAAAGAAGTTGCCGTCGTTGCTGATGGCTGGTGCAATGACGTCCAGATGTTGCATAGGCTCCTTGTCCTCGAATAGCAATTCTTCCCTGGAGTTATGTAAGAGTTGCTCCACCCTCTGAAGACTATTCCCACCCTTGCATCAGATTCTGCAGAAGAGAAAACGTGTCTGGCACGTGCCTGCATCCTTACTTTTGCTTATTTTTATAAAACGCAATCTGCAGATGGTCTTTTAATTTTCTAATGGTGAAAAATTGCATCATGTTGCGGTTAGGCATCTTCTATCTGATGAACGTGATTATGTCACAGTTATTCAGTTGTGTGTTTGATGTTGGTTGGGAAAAGCTCTGGAAGCTTCTGCATGCTCACACAGACACGTACACACACGTGGTGTATATTTAGACCACACAGATGAGGCACTGTGAGGGGAACAGCAGGTAACTGTTTCCTCCCCACATCATTTCTTATGCATATCCCTTTATACCACACAAGGCAGAGAGTAAAAGCATTTTTATCTTAATGATTTAGTCTCGATTAATTGGCATCTGGTTGAACTCGAGTCTGCACATGCTGAGGAATCTCAGTGTAAACTGTCACTCCTGGGCCTTCAGAAGGACAAACAAACATGGGGGTGGGGTGGGTTGTAAAAACTGTTAATGAGCTCATTTGTTGGGTAGTCATGTATGTAACTCAGCTTCAGGTACTTGTGAGTTCTAAACATGGCTATGAGTGGGTTGTGGACTTTTTTTGTCTCTCAAAATTTCATAGAAAGTTCTAGATGCCTCCCCCAACACATCACTAAAAAAGTCAAGCCACTCATCAGCTGGCATGTCAGGGCAATTTGTAGAGAGCAGTAAAAGAAAAGCACTGGGAGGGGGGTCAAGAGATAGATGGAAATACTTTAGTTGGAGAACACCTAGTCCTGCAGTGTCAGACACCCAGATCAATATTTTATTATCTGCATAAGTAAAGCTATAGCATGAAATGTCTCTCTTTGTACTGGAGGCAGGTTTCGGTCTCTTTATATACATCAGAGATGAAACAGGAGACAGATAATCTTGTGAATGTAAATGTGCGATTTTGAGATCACAATACCAACAATAACATTAATCTGTGTGCTAAAGAAAAGGCTCAGCAGTTTTATGAAACTTTTCTTTCCGAAGAAAGCAGATCCTGCTTTTCTTTTTTTTTCTTTTTTTTAAACATCAGTGGTCTTCCAGACAACCCCCATCGTTTAGTAGCTACCCTGCAATCAGCAGCTGAGTTGGACAGACGTGGCAGTGTGGGTGTGGGGGTAGGGCTGAGGCTCCTGCAACTTCTGGGGAGGCATGAATACTGCTGCATGAAACTTTCTGGATGTTTCCATGTGAAGTTAAGCAGCAGTTTAACAACAGCCAGGGAACAAGTTAGAGCTTTTATTCTGGAGTAAAAATGCTTTCTGAGTAACATCCTGCCTGCGGAGACTGTTTTGATGCATGGTGGTGTTCCATACTTGAAGAGAAGCTCATACACACAAATGCCAAAGAGTGCAAAAAGAACTTTAACACTGTATTTATATGCATGCAAAACAATCATTTAATTCACAGTCAGTGGCAGCTTAATCTTTATCTCCAATCATGTGATGAAACCAGAGTTTAAGATTGAGTCAGCAAGCAGTGTTAAAAACCGAGGGGACTGAGGCAGAAACTTAAGACTGACCAGGATTCAGATTTTCTATTCAGGAGCCTTTTGTGGGAAAGTTTTAACGCTGATCCAGGACCAGCACTTACTTCAGTCGGCACAGCTTTCATCCCACCCTGTGATTTCAAGAGGGGGATGTCCCAGCTCCCAGCTTCCTGAGGAAACACAGACACCCTCATTTGAATATCCCATTCCCAACTTCTAGAAAATTCTCTTTTAGGATATATAGAGCCAGGGAAGTCTGTCACAGCCACGCTATCCACCGGACACAGCTCGGAGAAGCAACCCTGCGATAATCTGTGCCAGGTAAGGATCAGAAGATAACGGTCTTTGTTTCACAGGGAGGAATGCGGCGACTGAATGAACTGCTTTGTTATCATGTGTTACAGCTGCAGTTCAGCTACCCTCCATTTTACCCAGTTTGAAAGCTGCAGCTGCGATTCCTCTGTCTGTCAGAGAATACTTCTCGTATTTCTTCTGTTTCCAGTAGGGAACAAATCCTGACCTGTTATCAGAGCTGAAAGTTGTCATGCAGCTGGCAGGGTGGCGCAGGCTTTCTGCTGCTTCCATGTCAGAACTTTGACAACAGTTTAAATGCATTCAGTTCAAACAAATAAAAAAAAGGTTTGCAGGAAAGTAGCGTGCCTGTACCCAGTTTAGCTTGTCTTTCCACTAGGAAGAGTATCACTTTGACTCATTGGAGCTCATTGGATCAAAGTATTTCCCCCCCCTCCAGGGTCGGGAAACAAACAGTGAAAAGTGCCTCATCTTGAATGAGTGGTGGGTTGACTAGATTGGCAGCTTAATATTTAATGTTTAAATTCTAGTGGTTGAAAACTTGAAACTAGAACAGAGACGTTAGACTTCGTACTGTGCATAGAGTTTCTCTCCATGAGAATCTGCCTATATGTTCTCACTGCCTGCTCCACAGAGATTACTACATACACCTCTTGTCTTTCAGAATGAAAATCGCAGAAATGAAAACATCTCAAGGTATCACAAACATGCAATCACAGAGGAACAGATGCAGTGTGAGTCTGCATGAGAAACAGTATGCCAGTGCAGCTGGTTATTCAGAGCCATTGTTTGAACCAGAGATGGGATGATTTGGGTGCAGCCTACAGGCATACGCCCTTTTCTTTCTCTGCAGGCAACATGAAAAAAGTCTGCACTGTATGTCTCGCAAGACTGTTGCAAAGGGATTTCTGATCCTCGCATCTGAGGAGACACTATTAACCATTTGTATCACTTAAAATGTGTCCGGAGAAGCGAGATCCAGCTCAATCCAAGTAAACGTCGAGTTTCAGCTGTTCAGCTCAGGCGGCGGTCGCTGCTGACGTGGCACGAAACATGTCTCCCTCAAACTCGGGACATTCCAGAGCTCCTGAGTGGGCTGGGTCAACTCTGCCCTTCCTCCACAGCCCAAGTGTAGTTGGCTCCCTGGCATTTTCTTTCTGAGATATATTTTAATAAATGAATATATTTCTGAATATCACAAACATGCTCTTCTTTTTCTTTTTCTTCTTGTTCTTTTTAAGGAATAATGTCATCATCGTTCTCTTTGCTTCCTTTTCACAGAGTGCAGCTGCTGTTGGAGACAGACAGGATGTGGATGACTAACATTGTAGGCCTTTGTCTGCTGGCCTTGGTGGCCTCTGCAGAGGATGTGAAGCTGAGCACCCACGCCACCGCGCTGGCTGATAAAAGCACCAACTTGGCCTTCAGGTTTGTATATTATTGATTCTGGCGCACTTGTAACATAAAGTAATATTCTCTGTGTTTATATATAAATATATGCATTTTTTTTATTTCACTTTAGCCTCTACCACACCATGGCAAAGGAGAAAGACACAGAGAACATCATCATTTCTCCTGTGGTGGTGGCCTCCTCTCTGGGGCTGGTGGCTCTTGGTGGCAAAGCCTCCACTGCCTCCCAGGTGAAAACAGTCCTCAGCGCTGACAAACTCAAGGATGAGCATCTGCACGCAGGCCTGTCAGAGCTCCTCACTGAGGTAAGGAGTTTCCCTTGTTTCATAATTCCACCATCATCACCACAGGCCATAGACTCCGAGTTGTCTTTATATCACAAATTAATGGCGTACATGTGCCACTTCTTCTCAGGTGAGCAACGCCAAGACACGCAACACCACCTGGAAAATCAACAACCGCCTCTACGGCCCCAGCTCTGTGTCCTTCGCTGACGAGTTTGTGAAGAACAGCAAGAAGCACTACAACTACGACCACTCCAAAATCAATTTCAGGGACAAGAGGAGCGCAGTGAACTCCATCAACGAGTGGGCGGCCAAGTCCACAGGCGGCAAGCTGCCTGAGGTCACCAAGGACGTGCAAAACCCAGACGGAGCCATGATCGTCAACGCCATGTTCTTTAAGCGTGAGTATGGCGTTAACGCTTGACTGAAGCTCTTTGTGAGGCCAGACGCCTGTGCAGAGTTGTGACCTCGTGTCTTTTTCCCCCCTCACAGCTCACTGGGAGGAGAAATTCCACGATAAAATGGTGGACACCCGTGGTTTCCTGGTTACTCGCTCATTTACTGTCGGAGTTCCCATGATGCACCGCACAGGTGAGTTTCTCTCTCATCTTTCTTTTTGATCTTATTATGTCTCCAGAAGCTGATAAGCCACCCCGCCTTCCAGTACACACATGTGATAAGATCTGCTTTGTCTGCCCCTCTCTCAGGTCTTTATGATTTCTACGAGGACACAGAAAATAAAGTCTTTGTGCTGAACATGCCTCTGGGCCAGAAACAGGCCTCCATGATCCTTATCATGCCCTATCACCTGGAGCCCCTGGAGCGCCTGGAGAAACTCTTGACAAGGAAGCAGGTGGACACTTGGCTCAGCAAGATGGAGAACAGAGCCGTAGCCATCTCCCTGCCTAAGATCTCAGTGGAAGTCAGCCACAACCTGCAGGTAAATGTTTGCACACTGGATGGCTCAAATGGAGTGTAACTTTAAGAGTTTTAGAAAATATTACTGTGAACCCAGAGCGCTGAGCAACTTCATCTGTGTTTTGCAGAAACACCTGGCTGAGCTGGGCTTGACAGAAGCTGTGGACAAAGCCAAGGCTGACCTGTCCAACATCTCTGGAAAGAAGGATCTCTACCTTTCCAGCGTCTTCCACGCATCAGCCCTGGAGCTTGACATCGAAGGAAACCCATACGACACAAGCATCTTCGGTACTGAGAAGCTGAGGAACCCCAAACTCTTCTACGTAGATCACCCCTTCATTTTCCTGGTAAAGGACAACAAGACCAACTCCATCCTGTACATCGGCAGAGTGGTTAAACCTAAAGGGGACAAAATGCGTGATGAGCTATAATGTTTAAAGTTATAAATTGTGGTGGGTAGCTTTATTATTTGTGAAATTATGGCAGGAAACTGTGCACGTGTGTAATTGTGTGTGATTTTATGCACGCGCATGTTTTGTTTTTGGTATGATTGTTACCTCAGTAGCACATTCCAATTGACAATCTGTGGACTGAATATCCGAGCTTAGAAACATTCGACTTTCCCAGGGAACAAATCTGTTTACATGGCTTCGTCTTAAGAACATGCTGGTTTGAATAATCTAAAAAAAGTGCCTTTTTTAAGACTTCCACAAACAAACAGCAGTCGGCACAGCAGACAGCATGCTTATATTAAGTACGAGTCCTCTTTCACATCCTGTTTTTGCCTGCGTGTGTTCGGCTACGACCTGTGTGTGCGTTTTTGTTTTTTTTTGCAATATCTTTAATGTTTAAAGAGAAAAAAGATCGATGCACAAGCTGTTTTACAGTGCTGTCTCATTCCCCCTCTCATTTTGCCTCCAGCCTGCACTGAACTGTTCCCCTGCACGAGCTGAGCTTGCAGGGGGAAGGTGGCAAATCGTCTGGTGCTTAATTTAAGTTGCAAACCATCTTCTGTGTCGTTTTCTTGCTGTAGGTATTTTCCACAAAGAATCTGTTGGAATGGTGTGATTTATGTGATTAATGTGGACCTTTTTCAATAAAAAAAATGAAGAGAACATATTTGTGCGTGGCTCTTTTCTTTGTTGAGAATCTCCTGAATGAATACCACGTGAATGCCATTCAAATACGGATGATAGAGTGCTATAGGGAGCTGAACTGGAGAATGTGTGCACGCTAGTGTTAACATCTCTAGAGGATAACAATTTTTCCAGCTGGCTGAAGGTCAAACAGTCTTCCCAGGTCTGGAATGCAGTGATAACCCTCAAGGGAATTTGGTGGACCATTTCTCTAAACACTACCAGCCTAAATAATAACACCAGTGGGATCTTTTGTTGGGATCTTCCTGACAATGCAGACTCTACATTGTTTAAAAACTGGAGTGCGGGGTTCTCATGGTGAGTGGGAAATCTAATCTCCAGATGTTTGCGCATAGCAGGATGTAGCTGCAAGACAACAGCACACCGACAAAAGAATAAACATCTATAAATGAGCGCCTCATAGACTCTCAGTATTCCTGTAGGGCTTCTGTTTCATGCACGTCAAATACGCATTGGGACAGAAATAAAAATAAAGAATGCTACAATAAAAATCACCAGAACCTCTCATACGAGAGGACGTAATCTCATTGTGAGACACAAGTGCGTCTTCTACAGAGAAGCATGCCGCCACCTTGTGGTTGCTGAGAATAAGAGAGAGCGAGCTTTTTAAGGTGTTACAAATGAGTGATTTAGTTACTTTATATTTACACAGATCTTACACATTGCATTACAGTTACATAATATACAAGACAAATAAACATCATATAAGTTACACAATATACATTACAATATATTGCTGACTGACTTAGCTGTTGATTTGTATACTGAGCATGAATAATACTTCTATTTTCAAAAATAACATGATGTGATCAGTGGGAGAATTTGCAAAATTTATAATCGGCTAAAATATGTTTCATTGTTCAGCGCGTGAATATAAGATTACTTCATACTTAGGGCTGAGTCCAAAACATGCATCAAAAAAAGGTACGTTTCTACTAAACGACATTTTGTATCTATTTCAGTTTTTTACTTTGTAAAGGTTTTACCTTATGCAATCCGCAATGAAACTACAGTGCACAGGGACATTTCTTGTATTGTTGTATTACTTTACTGATGCACACCTCCAAGGAAATGCAACTACTAAAAAGAAGTAGATAAGAGGTTAAAAAGCAAAACAAACAAAAAAAAAACCCAAAATCTGCTCAGCGCTCATTCCCAAATTTTTTTTGTGAAAATTTTGTGTTTTAATTGTTGTACAGGGCTTTCTAGCTCTTATGTCTGTGACAAGCACTAATATATATATATATATATAACATTGTATTTACTTGCTAATTTACTTTGAACCGGAAGGTGGTGCTGTTCATCTGTTACTCCTTGCTGTCCTGGATATATATGTGTAAGTTATATACATGGGACCATTATCTTTTAAAGAAACCATGTGACACTTGACACACGATTACAAATTCACGTGTGTTAATAATAATTAAATAATAATAAAAGTTTGGTTGGAATTTTGGTTGATGTGAATAAAAACATAATGTTTTCTCTACATTTTTGATTTTTTCCCCGTAAAGCCTGATGTATATACAGTCGACACACATACAGTGTGACTGTGAGCAATAAATTTCACAAAAACGCCCTATGTATTAAACATGATACAAGTTAAAGCTCGTATATGCAAACTGATATTCAATGTCTTCTATTAATTCATCGGAAGGTTGAATAATCTCTCCAGTTTTATTTATTGATGTTTTTCATTATTCAGGCTTTACAGGTTTAAAATGTCTGACATCATTGAGAATTTTTCACTGGGTCTGTTATAGATTTTCAACATGTATCTTATTTGTATCGTCTTACTGAGCACCTCATCAGAAACAGAACATTAAGGCGGATTCATTTAACTAGAGTTTTGAGTGCTGACAATAGATGTTAAAATGACACTGAGCACATTAGAAACAGTGACATGTTTCACTAAAGGAAGTGGCCATTTTCCTCCTCATGACCGAAATAAAAATGAGTCGTACTTTTCCTTATTTATACTTGTTAAATATTTCAAGAAAAAAAACTGTAGGCATGGGCTTAAATGTACTTTGTCATGTGCTTCAAGACAGTAGAAAAAAAACTGATCGACCCCTTTCTTTTTTTCCTCTCATCTTGTTATTTTCATACAGTAGCAGCTTTTGCCTCAAACTTTGAATGGCTAACCAGTTTTAGAATTCAGCCACAGCTAAGTAACAGTCTCGACAACTATATTATGAGCTTTATAACAAACTAAAAACAGATAAATTCACCAGAAAAAAAGATAACATTTCATTTTGAAATAGGCGTTTGGGGCACTCAAATTTTCCAGCAAGTGAGCTTCTGATTGCCCTGTAATAGGTGACCACGCAGTGGCCGGTGAGTGCAGAGAGGAGTGAGCGAGTGCATCCATCATGAAGGAGTGGTGCACTTTCCCCGTGATTCTGGCAGCAGGTACGTAGGCAGGTAACTCTCATTACATTAGCACCGTTGTGTTTTGCTGCGCTGGCTGCAGGCAGATTAGCCGGTCGATGGACAATCCTCTTAAAGAAGTCTGCCTTAAGCCACAGTGAGAAGCTGGGTGGTGCTCTCTGTCCTCTGCGTGCCCCTCCCAGCTCTTTGTCTCTATTTGGATGGATGCTTACTCCTCCTGATGCTTTCTCCTCTCCTTTCCTCTCCTCTAGTTTTGCTTGTTCCACATTTCTCCTTCTCTTCCTTGCCTTCACAACTTTTTGTCCACCTGCCTGTTGGCCTTGCGGAAATGAGTCTTGATCTCCTCTGTCACCATCTCTTGCCAGTTGTCCCTAGTTGACACAGAGTAAGGTGTTAAAATCATGGCTGTAATTTGTGCAGTTGTCAATTTTAGGGAGTACTCTAGGATCCACAAAAACACAACGAGAGCTGCTACAAACACAGTAAATTTAAAAAAACAAAAACAAACCACCAGCCAGCCACAATGAAAACGAATGCACTAAACAAAGAGGGCTTTCCCCAATCTGCTTAAGAAGATACGACAAGATCAAAAGATTAATGTGGCACTGCCAGACCACAAGCAATTTGTGAGATCCAGATATCTATAAGGGAAATTTATGCGCACAATCTCATCACGGTAGCACTTTACAGCACAACACCAGCTGGCATGCAGGTCTATACCTCCTGTGTATGGACTAAGAAGGTCAAGCCTTTTTCTCGGCTTTGTTTTTCCTGTATGCAGCTATCTCCTCAGGGTTCAGCCCGTGATTGTCTTGCCTGAAGCAACATGTGGATAGTTGCAGTTTGCATGAGTGGCAGGACACAAGTTACATGTGTGCATCACACTAATGAAAAGCAACATTTCTGAAAATATATCTGAAAAAAAAAAGATGTTTACAAGTGACTCATGAATCTGACTTCAATGGCAAATTGTGACAATCGCACACATTTCATTATTTCCCTTTAAATTCAGCTGTTGTGACGGTGCAGTGAGCGAATGAAAAGCGAGACTCTGTCTCTTACCCTGGTTTAATCTCTGGTGGTTTTGGCAAAGGCTTTGTAAAGTTGGTTTTCCCCACAAGCCAGTATGTCTCCTCAATACCTTTACCCTGCAACAAAAAGAACAACTCAGAGCTGTGCAGTCGGTCTTTTAGTAAATAAGTAAGTCCTTCCCAAAGTGTTACCTTAAGCTCTGTCTTTCCTCGGACTTCTATTTTATAACCATCGTTAAGAGAGTGGAGGATCTTCACTGTGCTCATATTTACATGGATTCTATAAGCTGAGGATAGGATAAAGCGCATATAAAGACAATATACAGACAACAGAGTCAACCTAAACATGCCACGATGCAGCAAAGATCGCACGTACGCAGGCCAGTGGATTCCATACGAGAGGCAGTGTTCACGGTGTCTCCAAAAAGGCAATACCGAGGCATAGTCAGACCCACCACGCCTGCAACGCAGGGCCCTGCAAAATACACAACAGAAGTCCAATCATTCCATTCACTCATGGAAAAATGTCCGTTACTAGTGGTGTTTTCATTTAAAGGTGAAACCCATGGTTTCAATTAGGAAAGTTTTAGTATCTGAGGTGTTTTACATCACTCACTTGGAGAGAAGCATTAAGAGTCCCACCTCATAACAGAGCATGCATCAATAACAACAAATACGAGAGAGATTAAACATGAAATTGAGCGGCTGAGCCAGAGGTGGGTTGCAGTGGAGTGGACTGCAGATGTGCAGCAACTGTGGGCAAACTAAAGTAGCTTAAACCATGCACTATAATGCCTGAGTTGTGCTTTAGCAGCAAATAACTTAATAACATACCCGGAAATGCCTCTTAACCCTGCGGGGTAACTTTAACCTGATGCACACCTCCAAGGAAATGCAACTACTAATCAGGCTGATGCAGCCCGCAGCACCTCTGATTGGTGTGGAAGGTTACAGCGTAGGGTTTGGAGGGGTTATGTTGTAAGCTATGACGTGGATTTCCTGCTAAAGGATAATTCAAGCATACAATGAGATGTCAGCTGATGTGGGCTGGCATGGCAATGAGCTGTGACTGCCTGTGTCTACCTGAACTAATGCTTGTCCAGTGACTCTGCATCAAGCCGAAAGCACTGCAAAGTCCACTGCCAAGACTGCAACTCTTATACTTACTACACAGTATATTTATCTGTGTCATAGTCTTGTTATGTTTTTTTTAGTTCTTGTGTTATTTTGTACGATGCACCACAGTAGCCAACATATACTGTTTCTAAATGAATAAATACGATCGGACTACTATGTGGATTCCTGTTCTAAAATCTCTTTCAGCGACGCACATTCATCTTTGGATTCTACCTGATAAGCTTGTCAGGCTGATAATGACTCCAAAGACTGCCACGCCCACCTGAGTGGATTCCTATTCGTATCCTGACGGGCACGTCCGGCATGTGTCGCATGTGGAAGGTTCCCACTGAGCTGAGGATGTTCAAAGACATGTTGGCGATCTCAGCAGCGTGCTTGTTGCCATTTTTCTTAGGCAGG